GCCATGTGCATGAACAAATACGCAGCTAAAGCCCGGGCCCTCCGGCAGCCATGTGGAGCCGGGCCCTCCCCGCCAGTCCCCTGCTCTGGTTTCCACTGTGTGTCTGTCATCACTTCTGTCTTTTTTCCTAACCCCAATCTCATACTTGTATAGAGTAATAAGTTGTACTTCCACCAAAGGCATGTGGCATATTTACCAATTTCCTGTATTCTAAACAAAGGCAAAAAAAAAATTACAACTTCCTACCACTCAACTGATTTGGTTATTGTTTGGGTTGGAGAGTCTGAGGCTGGACGGAGGGGGCTGCTGTCTCTTTCCAGCTTCTCTGTGGTCTTGCTTGGGGCCAGGGTGGCTTCCGTGTGCCGTCGGTCTTCTCGAGATGAAAGATCTGGGCGCTGGTGGAGGAAGCAGTCTCCACTGTCAGCCTTCGTACCTGAAGGGGCCCAGGTCTTCTGGGTACAGGAGGTGGCGGGTGGTGACAGGAAGCTGAGCGGGCGTCTCCCTGACAAACACCTGCAGGCTTCTCACACATCTGCTGTCTCCTCCCTCCCCGCTCCTGGGCTCTGTTCCCCGTTGTCCGCACACACAGCTGTCTCACGCTGAGTCCCCCTGCAGTGACCAGGCCCGCTTTAGAAGTGACCAAAAGGAGAAATCTCTCCTCTGCTACTGAGGGCGTGAGGGGTTTGTCGGTGTCCTGAAGGGCCCAGCAACTGTCCACAAGTGCAGGCCCTTGACCGCAGTCCAGAGTTACGCAGAACAACTGAGATGGGGCCCCGGGGCTTCTGCTGGGGGTCTTTGTTTCACACCTTGCACACTTTGCATGTCGGAGCAGCGAGGTGGGGGGCAGGGCTCCGTGGGGCCCAGCGTGGGGAAAAACAGGAAAGTGGAGAAGCTTTGCTTTCGAGGACGTGGGGGGTTTATTGGGACAGAGCTCAGGGACTATGCGTAGTGGCCCAGCCCCCACCCCTCGCCCCACTACCCCCATGTGTTCTTTCTTTAATTTTTTTCTGTTACCTTTTGCTACCAGCGCACTTCAAATCTGGCTCATGTTTTAACGTCCACCCAGACCTCCTGCCTTCCTCTCACCTCTTCACATTTCCTCCCTCGGAAAACCAGCCCAGGGTACGCGGTGGCAGAAGGCCGGCGTCCCTGTGCCTTCTTCATACCTTTCCCGGGGCCTTTTTGAGCTCTGGGACCCGGCTTAGAGTCCTTCAGGGAGAATGTGACTATCTTTTAAGTCTAAGGCAGGAGAGTGGCTACCCAGAGTGCCTCGGGGTCTCGGCAGGCCTTGGTGAGGTAGCTAGGAGAAAACAAGAGGGGACAGGCTTGGGTTCAGCTGGGATCACCCCAAGAGCTGGGGGCTGTGGTGGGGGGCCGGCTGGAGCTTGGGGTGCTTGGGCTTCATCCCTGATCTGGGTGTGGCGATGGTTAGAGCAGGCTGATCTCCAGGTGAGGCGGGTCAGGGCCAGAGTGGAGGACGACCAGGCTCTTTCTTACCTTGGCGTCTCTGCAGCCCTAGGAACAGCAGTGCAAGGAGGAAGAGGCTGCTGGCAAAGAGGACTCCAAAGGCCATCCCCTGCTCTGTGGGTGACAGGGGCGTGGACAGGGATCAGTAGGGAGGAGTCATACTGAGCCCCACCCTCAGCGTCTGCCCGGCAGGAGGGACAGAGGGTGTGTGTGTGTGTCTGGTCGAGGAGCCCCTATCAAGGCCACTCCTGCTCTCGCCCAGGGTCCACATACAAAGTGGGTGGGTGGATGTTCATTTGTTCCTCCACACAGAATCCTCTACCTCTTCCCACCTCAGGACAACATTTTTTCAAACTGCTTTGCAAGAGAGATTTAGTTCAGATTAGCTGTTGACAGTTAAGGTGGAATTTTATAAATAGCTGGGGAACGATGTGGACAGAGGCACGACCCCATTTCAGGGAAGCTTACAGTCCGCCTGGACGTGTGCATTTTAAGGTGCCGATTCTTTATGGTATGACACCTTTCGGTGACATTCTGTGGCCTCTGGATGAAGTTCCAGCTTGAAGGCCTGTTGTTACCTGCCCCCCGAGAGCAGTGGGGGCGGTTGAGGCTGTAGGGCAATCAGTCTGCCTATTTTTCACACTTTCTATTTTACCATTTCCTAAGCAGGTGAGCTGGGGCAAGTTACTTAAGATCCAGCAGGCCAGTTTACTCATCTCTGAAGTGGCAGTCAGGACCACATGTGCGGGCACTCGTCTGGGTGCTCAGGACCGAGCTCAAGCTTACGGCCTCCGTTTCCCCCGCAGCCTTGCCTCTAGCTGTGCAGGTTCCCGCAATTCTTTTTAGGCAGTTTTGTAACTGGGCCTCCACATGTGCCTTCTTTTCTGTCCTGGTGTCCCCTCTCCCCCCGAGCTGGCTGAGCTAGCTGGCAGCTCTCCCCGGGTCATCCTCCCTGACTGCCTCGTCTGTCCCCCCGCAGGACTAAGCTCCTCCAGGGTGGGATGAGGAGGCGTTCAGCCCTGGTCTCCAGCTCTCAGCTGTGCCTGGTACCCCATAACCTGCTGGGTAATAAGGTCTCGGGGGACATGTGGCGGGAAGGAAGCCACTGGGACCGTGAGCAAAGCGCTGTGGGAAGCAGAACAGGCCAGAGGGGGTGGGAGCTGTGAGCCCAAATGTGAAGGTGGGGAAAGGAGGGCACCCCTGTACCTGGTGGGGCAACCCAGGTGTTGGCCCCAAGAGGCTCCTCCAGGGAGACGTGGGTGACTTGGCAGCTGTAAGTGGCGCCCGCAGAGCCAGGTTCTGCCGTCAGCGAGGAGGAGATGCTGTAAGTGCCTGCCGTGCTCTGCCGGAGGCTGGAGAAGGAGGCGCCAGAGACCGGGACCCGGGCTCCATCCAGCTCCTCTCGGGTCCACGTCACAGTCACATCCAGAGGATAATAGCCGGTGACACTGCAGATGAGGGTGCTTGGCAGGGCTTCGTTGGCCAGGCTCAGTTGTACTTTGGGGCGAGCTGGAAGAAAGGAGGAGTAATAAAATTCCAGGGGGACCTTTGGGACAGCTGAGGAGCCTAGAGCCTCTCCTGCTGAGCCCGTGAGCGTTGTGGAGGGTGAAGGTTCCTCCTCAGGGGGTGTTGGTGGTGTGAGGGGTCCATCTGGGATGCAGGACATAAGGGGGGACAATTTCCACAGGTAACTGACAAGCAATAGCAAAACCAGCTAAAGACTGGCTTGCTTTTTAGTGACACAGGCCAGTGATTTGAAAGGATATCTATCAGTGGTGAAACAGTCCTCCGGGTCAGGACCACTCCCATAGCCCCTCCTTGGTTTGCCGCTGCCCCTCCTCAGGACGTGCTCCAAGTGGATGGGGTGACAGGAGACAGCCATCCAGGGCAGGGCAGCGGGACCCTGGGCTGGGGAGTGTCTCAGTGGAATTACCCCAGAGCCTGGTGGGAAGCTCAATCTGATGCCACATGGGCTTCCAGGATGGAGAGGTGTTCAGGTCGTGCGAATGCAGTCTGCCTCTCGGGAAACTGCCCCTGTGTTTGATCTCACTCTGGGCAACACTCCCAACAGGCGTATCCCTTTCCCTCTCCCCAGATCACTGAGGTCTGGCCTCACCTTGGACGTGGAGCTGGATAATCTGTTGCGCTCGGAAGCGGGAGGTGGAGATCTGGCATATATAGGCCCCTTCATCCTTCACAGTGAGGCTGGGGAGGGTGAGGGAGGCATCCCCAGCGAGGAGTTGCTGCTCAGGCTCCAGGGTGGCGCCCTCCCGCTTGGCCTGCCCCTGCCCCGTGGTCCAGCTGTACACCAGTCGTCCACTGCCCATGTGCTGCAGCCGCCACTCCACGTTGGTGAGGACCAAGCCTGGTGCCATGGAGAAGCCACAGGGCAGGGAGACTGAGGACCCCAGCAGGAGGTTCAGGGACGGGGTCCGTGCTGTCACCTGGAACTCCACTGTGGGAGAGAAAGAGGGATGACTGGGGACTGCTCCCTGTTTGAGGCCACCTGGTCTCTGAGCTGTGGCATGCTCGGGGTGTGGTGAGAGGCAGCATGGCACACATGGTACTTTTTGGAGTCACTTACCCCTTGGCTGATCTGATGAAAGTTATGGCCTGAGAGAAATACACATGGAAAACTCTGGATTACTGTTGACCCTCCGGTAACAACTAGTGGAGTGACAGACAGAGCTTTTGGAAGCCAGGCACTTCCACTTAACTGGCTCTGTGACCTTGGACGAGCTGCTCAGTGTCGCCAAGCTCATCTGCTGAGAAGACTAAAGGAGTCAGTTTGAAAAAGCACACAGTGGCGGTATTTGTGCCAAATGGGCTGAACCTCAGTCTAATTAGGAAAACAATCAGATAAATCCAAATGCCAGGATGTCTACAAGACAGTGGCCTGGGCTCCGAAACGCCCAGGCTCTGAAGACTTCTGGAGTAAAGGGTGCTGAAGGAACAGGACAACTGTATGCCATGCACAATCCTTGTTTGAACCCTGGCCTCCAAAAACAAAACAAAACAAAAACCCTGAAAGCTGTAAAGACCACTACAGGGGCAAATGAAGATGTTTGAATTTGGACTTTATATTTGATAATATTATTGTATCAGTTTTAAAATGGTTATCAGGAGCAGACCAGGCCATGGTGGGGGGAGATGGGGACAGTCCGCGCTGGCAGGGAGGAGTGTGTTATCACTGATACGGTTCAGAATTGCCAGTGGAGAGTAATGCTGAGAACATGCATTACTGAGTTACCTGCACCCTGCACCCCGATACTGCCCACACCCCCAGTAGACCACTCCCCACCAGGGCTGGCTGCTGAGGCAATGGTTTTATGATAATGGAGAACATTCTTTTTTTTTAATTTAAAAAAATTTGTTTGTTTTATTTTGGTGGGGAGGTAATTGTTTTTTAAATTTTTATTTAGTTTTGTTTTTTTTTAATGGAGGTACTGGGGATTGAACCTAGGACCTCATGCATACTAGGCATGCACTCTACCACTGAGCTATACCCTCCCCCCCAATAATGGAGAACATTCTTGTCTTTGGTTATAAACTAACACACGCTATCCCTGGAAGCATTTGGGATGAAGTGTGGTTATGTCTGCAGTTTATTCTCAGTTAAGAAGGGGGAAAATATATGGAGAAGAGGGTGAGGGAGGGTGAGAGGATGTGGCAACATGTTAACTGGTGAATCCAGGTGCATGGTATACAGGTGTTTATTATTATTTCACCTTTTTCATAGGTTTGAAATACCTCCCCCAAAAGGGGGGCAATGCCTAGCCTTGCTAGGACTATGGTTGACCCTGGACAGACATGAGGACCCTTTTTCTGATGTAGCAGGATACATTTAGGGTGGACCACAGGATGGTTTGAGTGTTCTGGAGCTTTCTAAGGATAGGAGGGTAGCCCCCTAATCTCCTCTGGACTTGGCTGTCTCTTCTGACAAAATATTGGATTTGATGCATTTTGGAGAAACTTGTCACCATATTCTCAATTTCCTGTGTCCCCTGGGACGTGCAAGGTTGTAGAGGGCAAGGACCGGGGTTTACTGGTAAGAGATAATGAACAAATCCCCCGTGCCTGTGCTCTGTTCGCGTCATCTTGAAGCACCCAGGCTAGCTGTGCTGGGGAGAAACTGCTGCTTGGCTCAGTGAGACTGCTGTGGACAGCATAGAGGAATAGAGCCACCCATGTCTTATGTCCTCAGGCCACCCAGCAAGGTGAAAACTGTCCCCATTTGGGGTCTTTAGGAAGAGAGGACTGAGGCCTAGAGGACACCCTGAGATGACCCATATGCATGGAGGTGGACATGTCCCCTTCTACTATTCTCCCATCTCTGACCACTTAAAAAAAACACAACTTTCTTTGTGCTGTTTTTCATTTTCTCACCTGCAGTTCGCACAGTCCTCTGGGGGCTAAGGGGCAGGTTCAGCGTGGGATGCAAGACAGCCCCATTCTCAGCATCTCTGAGAGTTTTCATCACCATGGATATACTAGGTCCCCCTCCAGACACCTGCACGTTGGTGATGAACCAGGCTGCCGTCTCCATGGCGGCCTCTTGCCTGGCCTGGAGAGAGTAGTGGGAGATCTCACAGGTCACATCATTCCCGCTGCAGTCAGCGTGGAGCAAGGCCTCAGCCTGGGGCATCTGTACCAGGTTCACTGGGGGAGAAGGGCAGCACAGGGGTCGAGCTGGATTGAGAACACCTGGGCTGACGGGAAGCAGGTGTGGCAGGTGTCCTTGGGAACTGGGCTCCAGAACTGGTGGGAGCCCAGACGGACTGGGACACAGGGTAGAGGGTTCTTACCTGAGGCCTCGAAGATAATCTGGGCGTCGTCCTTGGCCAGTGTGCCCCCTTGGAAATCTGTGAGGCCTTCTAGGGAGCCATCATCTGGCACTGGCACCTGCTTCAGCACCAACAAGGCCTTTACCGTGTTCCTACTGCTGGCAAAAGCTCCATGGTGAGCACCTTCCTTCACCAGGAAGCAGTCTAGCACCACATCCACTGCCCGCCACTGCCTCTCTGCTGCAGGCAAAAGGCTGGGGTGAGCACCCTCTTGCCCAGAAAGTTACTTCTATACTTGCTCCCCCGCCCCAAACTGTCGAGTCATCAGCGGGTAACCTTCCCTGTTCCTAGCTGTCTCCATGTCCCTCTCTTCTCCTGTTTTACCCAGAACCAGCTTTCTGGATAGCACCTGCTTCTCCAGGTACATACTTCTTGGTGTGATTTAAAGTCCTGGATTTACCTTGCTCCAGACAGGTTTAGGAAACTGTTATATCCAACTATCACGTGAAAAACTATCCCTTCAGTCATAGGAATTTGCAGCAAAATTGAGGCGGGTTTGCGTGGCAGTGAGGGTGATGGCAGCTGTGTCTACTCCCCAGCCAGCCCCCACGGTCTGCGGGCTCTGGGCCATTACAGGTGGCTCTCCCCTCCCCCACCTCTGGTGGCACCTCCAAAGCGATTTCCTAGCTAGGGCCTCTCTTCCTTTCCTGAAGGTGTCTGCTCCCAGGCCAATGCCCTCTCCAATAGGACAGCAGCCCCCAGCACATCCACCGAAGGGGCCCCTCATTTCTTCATTTGACCCTTTCCGCACAGAGCTGTCAGCCTCTCTTCCCAGCACAATTGGATCCTTACACTATCAGCCGCTGAGCCTTCCACCCGCTGGGCTTAGGAGGCGACTGGAAGCCATCCCCGGCCCTTTTTCCCTTTTGGGGTCTCAGCGAGGGGCTACCTGATGTTGTTTTAGCCCAACAAGCCCCACCAGCCAGCCCTTCGCGACTCACCGGCGTCTGCCGCCCTGGAGAGAGCCAAGCAGATCAGCAGGCACCATTCCTTGGCGCCCATGGGGGCTGCTCTCAGGCCCTCCTCTCCCGCCGCCCTTCCAGTCTCCCTGCCCACCCCCGACCGCAGGCAAGGTCCCGGCTGCAAAGGGGGCTCCAAGCACCCCTCGCTGGCAGCTCCTGTCCCCTTCTCTTCTGTCCTCTCTGCCTACTTGACTTTCGCTTTCACTTTGAGGAAGTGTCACCGCGGCTGCCTTTGCCTCTGGGTGAAGCCATTCGTGCAGGAGCCAGAGGCCTGTTCACTGTTCTCCTTTCTTTCCACCTGCTCCCCCGCAAAAAAAAAACCCAAAATCCCCTGGTGGTTTCAGGACCTGACTTCACTGCATGCACCCTTTTGCTCCCAACCAGCCCCCAAGAAAGTGGAGATGGAAGTACGGGAAGAGAGGCGGGGCGAAGAAAGGGAGGCTGACGCCAGACGAAGGCTCCCCAGTGGCCGGGACCCACCCCAACTTTCGGTGGGTGCCCTACCTACTCCCTCCATCAACCCACGCCTCCCCGCCTCGTGCTGGCCCGGGCACTTCGGCCCCGGAGAAGGCTCCGCCCCCAGGCCCCGGGTGGCCGACGGGGCTGGGCGTGGCCTGCGTTGGGAGACTGCAATTTCTGAGCTGGAGAGCTGCAGGTGCTGCAATCTGTCACTTTATTTCGCCAGGTTTCCAGATCAGCGGTATAGTGCGTGGGCCGTTCGTGGGCAGAAGTGTGCTTTCTAACCTGGAGCCCCAGCCCTCTTGCAGCAAAGGGGTGAAGCTGGCTGGGCGAGGACACACCCGGCTCCTGCTTCCCGCCCTCCACCTCATTCCCTTTTGTCCTCGCCACTGCTAGTCTCGAAAAGGCACACAGGATAGTCTCCCGTCTGTACACAGGAAGGGGTCCTGATGAGAGGATGGTGCTGAAGTTGGGGGTGCCAGCTCTCTACCCCCCTGGATGGCCGGTGGGGTGGGATGGAGGCTAGGACTTGATTGCAGGCACCGGCTCAGAGGTAGCAAGGTGGCTCAGGTTTTCGGTAATCCTCCTGAATGGGGATGGCGCCGCCCTCTTCCTCCCTGGGGCAGCTGTATGGACAAGGCTCTGCAGGCGCCGCTGGACTTTCTCCTGCGTCTGCAGAGGGAGAATGAGATGAGGCTTGGCCGGTGGTGGGGAAGGGGTGAAGGGAGACGGGAGACAGGGTGACCAAAGGCAGGTAGCTTGGGGGAGGGCTGTCAGGAGAGCCCAGCTGAGAAGAGAGGAAGGGAGGGAATAGGGTGGAAAAGGTGGAGCTGGAGAAGTTCGATGAGCTTCCAGGTCGGGTGGCAGGGCCCAGGTGGTGGGGAGGGGTGGGGTGCAGGAACAGGCCTGGAGACCTATATTTTGTCTCTTACTTAATCCGTATTTTCTTTGTTGATGGAGGAACAGGGCTCCGACTATGGTGAAAGCAAGGAACATTCCAGAGAGGATCACAAAGATGCGGATGCATTCCGAGCTGCACAGGGACTTTTGGGCTGTGATGGGCAGGGGCCACAGGGGGTTTTGGGGAGGGCCGAGCCCTTGACTCCCCTCATCCCAGCCCTCCTGTCACCCCTGCCTCTCTTCTATCCCCCACCTGCCTCTCCCACCCCCAGCGTTGGCCCAAGTCCTTTCCTAATCCCTGGACTCTGCTTCTCCCTCTTCTTACCCCTGCTCCCAGGACCCTTCTGACTGGCTTCTCTCATGGACTCTTCTGTGTGCATTCTCTCCTGGGGTGGCCAGTGGGTCGAAAGGGTAGGGGCAGGCTGCAGCATGGAGCCAGCCAGGGTCCGTGTGTGCCTGGCTGTCCTGGCCTCTGGCATCTCTGGAAAAACAGAAACAAGATGAGCAGCAGCCGGGGCCCCAGAGGACACAAGGCCAGGCTGAAGGCCTGAGAGGCCCTAGATGAGATGGGAAGGCAGAGACAGGCTGAATGGGCTGGGCATGGAAGGGGAGGGTGCGCTAGTTGGGGTGTGACCCTTACCCCAAATGACCAGACAAAGGGTTATCTGGAACTTACCTTCAGCGTCAGGTGACTGGAAGGGTTGTGGGTGTGGGCCTGGGGCCTGGGGTGGACGGTCACACTCTGTACACTCCTTGTCCCTGCACTGCCAGCCCTCAGGGCAGGCACACTCAGTATTGGAGGTGAGGGTGCAGTTTCGAATGAGAAGACCTGGAGACAGAGGGGGCGGGGGGAGCACACAAGGTTACTCCTCTCCCCAGCTGTGTCCCAGGCCCACCTCCAGGGATGGGCTGCCCTCCCAATCCCGCCTCCCCACCCCCACCCAGACCTGCCCCTCTTTCACTGCCACCAGTGCCTTTGCCATTTGTGTTATTGTCATTCAAGATAAAGTTGGACCTTTTAGAAAATTTGTGGTTTAGAAGTAGAAACAGCTTATCTGATTTTTCTCTCTTACTCACTGATGCTTTTATAGCTCCTTACTGAAGTACACGCGTCACGAGTGTAAAAGCTTGAGAACTGGGACAAATGGGACTCACGGGTGTAACCAGCACCAGATCAAGAAACAAGGTGGCCGGTAGTGTTCCTTTCTAGTCACTAACGCCCTCGCCGCCAAGAATAGCCACTAGCCTAACACCATGAGCTGCTTTTGCCAATTTTGGAACCACCTACAGGGAATCATGTGTATGAACTCATTTGTGCCCGGCTGCTTTTGCTCAACCCTTTGTGAGATTAATCCATGTTGCTGGGTGTGATTGTCAGTCATTCTCACTGCTGTGTAGTATTCCATCGTGTGAATATACCACAGTTCATTCGCCCCTTCTACTGTTCTGTGCACTTGGGTAGTTTCCGGCTGTTAGCAATTAGGAGTAGTGCTGCTGTGGTCCCCGACAGGGTTTTAACTTTACTAGAGAGTAAAGTTGATTACTGACATCCTTTGCCTTTGAAATCTAAATTTTATTCGTGTGTCGAGATCAGGTGCTAGGTGGCTGCCAACCAGGCATCGTGGTGGAGGTGGACGTGAGGGGCACTGCGAGGGCAGGGCTCACCCATCCTCGTGGTTCAGAAGAGGTGATTCTGGGCAAGGCGGCAGCACCCGGATGTGGGCCAGTATTAAAAGGCCTAGTCAGACCCAGGGCACTTCCAGGCAAGTAGGGTCACAGTTCAGCTAAACAGTCCTCAAAAGTTCCTGTTCCAGGAACACCTGTTCCAGGGGGCCACTTTAAATCTGCCAACCTAGGTACGCTGGTACATACATAGTTTCTGAAATTCTGGCTAAAATGGAGAAATAATGAAAGTATTCATAACACAGCCGCAGACAGTTCATGTCCTAATTTTTAAAAAGATGAAATTACAGAATAGATAAAAACACAAGCGACATACACATTCATTTTCCTAAATTGGCTTTTGGGCGAAAAGGGCTGTTATCCACTGCTGGTATTGTTAGGTCCCTAGAGAGATGTGCGCCAAGTTCCAGACAAGCATGCAGTCTGCGAATACAGCCAGTTCATCAGTGGGCTGAAATCTAAGGTCCTGGGGCCACTTCCTCCCTTGCATTGCCTTGAACCTAGCCATAGACCCCCTCTCAGCAGTCCCTCAAACTCTGCCTGGCCCCTTCCCTGAGACACTTCACCCCAGCTCTCCCCATCACATCCACACGCCCTGCCCAGGGCGCCCCATTTCCCACCATGGGCTCCATTTGCCAGAGCCTTGAAGCCACCAGGGCTCCACCTCCCCCTCCTCTTTGCTTCTCCACACCCCAATCCCCACCTTGCGCCCCCAGACGCTCGCCCATCTCACCAGAGTTGCAGTGCCGGCAGCTCTCACAGTGGGGCCGGGTGTGATGGTCTGGCGAGAAGGAGACCCCCGGTGTACAGCGACCACACTGAGCAGCCTTCCCTTCCTGGTCGCAGTGCTTCACCAGGAACATTCCTGTGAGCAGAGGTCGAGGGTCAAGGCCCAGTGAAGGCCACTCCCCCCCCTCCCCCGCAAGGGGCTGCCTCCTGGCCTCTGCAGGAGTCCTCTCTGCTCCACTTCCCGCCTAGCCTGGTCCTCTCCCTGCATACGCAGCTGGCCCCTGGCAAGGCCTGCTCCTACCTGGCTCACACATCTGGCAGCACAGTTCTTTGGGAGCCCGGTAGTGCTTCTCTGGACAGCTGTTGGGGGCTGGGGTAGCTGAGAGCCCTGCCAGGGTCCCCAGAACCCACAGCCAGCAGACAGGTGGCAGGGCCATGGCTCCTGCCCTGGCAGCTCTTCCTGCGCCCCGGGTGCTGACCGCGGGCCTTGGCGGAGCTGGCACCTCCCCCGCTGGGCGCCGGTGCCGCTTCTCTGCACCTCCCGGGAAGGTCTTCTCTCCTCGGGGTGGCCCCCTGCCCCGTCGGGTGGCAGGCTGACCTTCGATGCAGTTGAAGCTCTACTGTGACTGTTTTGCGCTCAGGCAGCCAACCCTCCCCTCCCCCTTTTCCGTGCGCTGGATGCTGGGAGAGTGTTAAAGGGCAGACTGTCAGAGACAAGCTGCTCTTCAAAGACGCCCCCAACACGCCAGCTGTGGTCTCTGTCTCTCTTCCGCTCGTGAAGACTTTAACCCGTCTATGCATACCGCCTTTACAAAATGTTGGTTGTGCACAGACACCCGCCTCTCCTGTTCACGCATCTGTACACAGCGATGCCCGCGTTACCGCCGTTCACAGCCGGCGGGCTGACCTGCGTGTCCCCACTGCTCTCCCCACATCACTTCTTACACAGAAGTGGGCAGTTTAGAGAAGAAAGGGGAACCAGAACTGAGGACAGGCCTGCATGTTTTTATCTGAAACTCTTGGCATCAGATAAATTCAGAATTGTTCAGATTTGGGGGAAGAAACTAGCACCACAAGGCACCCTCACAGGGCTGGGGCGGCACTCAGCGCCAGGCAGCAAAACTACTGAATATTTTAGTGGAGAGAGTAATAACTAGAACCAGCCTGGCATTCGCTGGCGTCTGGTTTTATGGCCAAAATAGTTTGCTATGGGCTTGTTCAGAATTGCAAACAAGGGACTTAAACCTGTGTCCTTCTCTGTCAGACCAAGGCCCGGAGTTCACACACGATCACTTAGCCTTCCTGCCAGCCTGTGATACGGGGTCACCCCCTCCCAACTGGCCTCCTTCGCCCTACTGCCACCTGCATCCTCCCTTCCCACCCCCAGCAGTGTTGGCCACTGGTGGCCATCTCCTCTCCCGCCTTGGGCACTTGGGATTAAAGGTCGATCCTATCGGTCACTGCTTCCCTATTTCTGCGGTTCTCCTGGGAAGACAGATTCTGGGATGTTGGCAATTGACTTTCCCCTCTTTGAGTCCCAGGAACACATGGGTCATATGGCCCTCTGCTCCTCTTTCCCCAAAGACTGGCTTGTCTCTCCGGACCATTTCTGATTCAGGGGCTTTGCTGCTGTTTCCACACTGCTCATAAAATCTCTCACCCCTGTGTGCTCATCTGTTAGATCTGTTCTCTATCTCACTCTTTGGTTTCCTTTCTCTTCACTTTTTCCATCCTCCTGCCTTTCCCCAACCTCCTCTCCTCTCTGCAGGAGGGTCGTCTCGAGTGGGAAGCCGCACAAGGGTGTGATCTGAAGAGTTACTTGTGCAAAACCATCCTTTTTTGCGACATCCGCCAGGTGCCTGAACTCCCTCCTTAGAGTGTTCCTGGTGGGATCTGAGGGTGTTGCTGTCACCAGCACTCCTGACCCCTTTCCCAGATTATGGTCAATATCCACTGTTAGTCTTTAGCTTCAAGGCAGGCATGGAGAGGTGGGGCTCTGCGGGGATGGATGAGACCCTGGAATAATGCTGAGGAGTTGGGGATCTTTGGGGAGAAACTTGCCGAAGGGGGAATTGAGGATGCTGAGGTCTAACAGTCTGTGATCCCCCACGTGAGGCCTCTGTTCTCTGGGCCAAGCCCCACCCCCTTCTCTACTCATCACTGCTCTGGCCGGGCCAGGGGGCGGTGGGGAGAGCAGGAGCAGGGTCTGCCTGGCTCTCCTAGAGTACTGTCAGGTCTCTGGCCCTGACTTTTCTCTGGACAAATGGAATGACTTCATCTGCCTTCTGTGCTGTTTGCATCAACTTCTGGTGAAGCTTGGCCTGTCCTGGGCTGGCTCCCCGCAAAGCTCTTCCTCTTCTCTACAGGCCCCATGGGTGCAGCCTGCTGACCGCTCTCTCGAAATCCTTCACCACCACTTTCTCTTTTAAGGTTCAGATTCTCCCCACGACTGGCTGGCACAGAGATACACGGTCCCTTCTCAATGGCTCCCTCCCTTTCTTGCATCCTCGGAGGCAGGCTCACAGAAGCCCTTAACCTCTGATGACTTTCATTACTTTTGAGAGAGTAATCTGGAGCAAGGACAGCAGCCTGGATGTCAGCTGGGGTCCCCCTGCCCCTTGATACCTACCCAAGACATCCCACACCTTCCAGTCCAGGCATGCCCCGGGCAGTGTGGGAAGAGGCGGCACTGGGGACCTGCCCGGATTCCAGTGGCTCGGGTGTTATGGTGGCCTCTGCTTCTGATTCCTCTTTCAGCTGCAGTCTTGCTCCTGCCTCTCTGCTCTTGGGTATTCCCATACCTCTGCCCTGGACACAGGGCTTTCTTGAATTTTCCTCCAAACCAGAAGGTTGTCAGGTGTGGCAGAACCTTTACTGAAGCTTTAGATCTCATAAGGATATGTTAGAATTGTGTTTTGGATATTCTGATTCTTTTTTGGGGGGAGCGGAGGTAAATAGGTTTGTATTTATTTATTATTTTTTAACTAATGGAGGTTCTGGGGATTGAACCCAGCACCTTGTGCATGCTAAGTGTGTGCTGTACCACTGAGCTGTACCCTCCCTCTGGGTATTCTGATTCTTAGTGGTCCTTCCCACGAAGCAGTTGGAGCACTGAGCGTCCTGGTCCTCCTCCCTCCTTCTGCCACAAACCACCTTTCAGAAACCTGTCAGACAGATACTCCCTCTCTTCAGCCCCTAATCCCCAAATCAGTCTTGGCCCTTTTAAAATCTATAACCAAGTCCTCAGTAGAACTAAGCTCTCTCCAAGATCTTCCCTTAGAAGGAAGTTCTGTTCTATTACATAGACATCAGAAATCACATTCCCCAGCCTTATCAAATTCTTAGTTTTTGTAGCCCTCTTTGTCTTCCACTCCATCCTTCTTCCTCCAGTCCCTCCAGACTCCCAACACTTTAGACCCTCCTTTCCAGCAAGGCTTTGAGAGACCAACTGGGCAGGGCAGTGGGGTGAGCCAGTTATTAAGGGTCTGGGTGCTCATATCCCAGTTCTGTAATTTGCCCATGGGGGACATGGAGTCTGAGCACCTCTGGGCATTTCTTTCGACCTTAGACCACTTTTCAGTATCTCCGCCCCAGCTCCCAGTGTCTCCTAGCACATAAGGCATCCACTGCATACTAGATGGCCCAGCCTCAGCTTAGTTCCCTGGCAGTTCTATCCATAATTATAAAATCGACGTTTCGGGGGCCCAAGGCCATACTGGCCTGGTAAGCGCCACTCCTCATCATTTAACAACTATTTGTTGCATGTCCAGGTACCAGCTAAGTAATGGGACACAACGATGAAAAAGATGAACAGCTGGTTTCTGCCCTGTGGGAGTATTTACAACCACATAAATCAGAAAATGCTACAGTTCAAGGGTTCCCTACCCCAGAGGGGCACTACTAAACATTTACCACCACATGGCTTCTACTGGCGGACGAGGGCTGGGCCCAATATTTGTCTTTTGTCCTTTTTTGAATCCTGGGGTGGCAGAGTTCTTCCCTACCTAGGTTCCAATCCGTCTCCTTCTGGCTTCTAGATAGAACTACCCTGCCTCCCTACTCTGATTCTGCTTAGAATCCTAAACTAGAAGGGCTGGAAGGAAGTTTTCTGATCCTGTGGGTCCACCCCCTCGTTTTACAGATGTCAGAACCATGGGCCCAGGAGGCGAGATGACTTGCTCTTTGTGGGAGAGTTGGGAGGGCACCCAGGCCTCCTGCAACCCAGCCCACTAGCGCCTGGAGCACTGACAGAGCTGGATGCTCAGGACAGGTGCTGAACTGAATTCACACTGGACAGACCCTTCAGCCTGCGGACATGCCTCGGCTGTTGTACTTTTCAGAGACTGTGCCCTGCCCATGCGCTCTATGAAAACATCCCAGTTTCTTTCTTTGCTTTTCTTTTTCTAAATGGAAATTTAATTATACAAGTAGTATGTTCATAGCATCTCTTTATAGAAAATTAAACCAGTAAAATCCATCAATTCCACCAGAAATCATATGCACTAAGAATTCTTGCACATGCAGGGAGAGGATAACTCAAGTGGTAGAGCGCATGCTTAGCATACATAAGGTCCTGGGTTCAATCCCCAGTATCCCCTCTAAAAATAAATAAATAAGGAAACCTAATTATCTCCCTCAACAATTTTTTAAAAATAAAATGAATTAAAAAAAAGAGAGAGCATTCTTTCACATGTGCCCCAGGAGATGAAGGCAAGAATGTTTAAGCCAGACTATTTGTAATAGCAAAAGAAAAGAAAGGAAAGAAAAAAAAGAACCCATAGGTCCATAAATGGTAGATGGACTAATAAATGATAGTAGATTCACCTAACAGAGTATTCGCCCAGTGTATTGCTTTAAAGGAATAAAGATGAATGACCTGCGTGCAGCCATGTACGCATGGATAATATGGCTGAGTCTTTTTTTAAAATATATTTTTATTGAATGGCTGAGTCTTAAACACATGATCTTGCACAACAGTGTGAATGTATTACTTAATGCCAGTGAATTGTATGCTTAAAAATGGATTAAACGGTCCATTTTATGTTATGTATATTTTACTGCAAAAAAACAAGCAAACCAATAAATAAAAATCATAATATTGAGCAATACGGAGTGGGGACGCAAGCCACAGAAAATGCATGAGTGAGAGTTCATGTAGATGAAATAGGAAAACACGCAGCTTGTTCAGGGATACACACAAAGGTGGTAGAACTAGAAAGAAAAGTAAGGGAGTGAGAGACACCCCCCACCCCGGGCCCTGAGCTGGTTCCCCTGCAGGGGGAGGAAGGGGATGTATGATCAGGATGCTTCTGAGTTTCTGCTAATGTTCTGATCTTCGCACGGGTTTTCATATTGTTATTTCTCTGCACTATTTTGTATGTTTGGTGTAGTTCACAATACAAAATTTTAAAAATATAAAATGTGTATATATTTCTATATTCACATATATATATAAATAAAACATCTGATAAAATCAACTGCAAAACCACTTTGAAGAGGCATGCCCTTGACCTGGACGCCTGATTCGAAATTAGAAGACACATCTGAAACAGTTTGACCCAGAGCACCTTTTTTCATCCAGGTCAGGCATGAAAACCAAATATTTGAACTTTGACCC